TTCATCAATCTCAATGTATCCCGGATCATATGCTTCCTGAACTTGTCAGAACACGTTTACTACACTTGACGTCTAATGTATTGTTCCATTAGGATAACGTAGTAGGTTGGTTGGATAATGTAACTCTATGTGATATTTCCACTGTATCTTTGTTATGAAAACTATTACAAGATCATTAAGATTATTTTAACTTATGTTTAATACACAAAATAGTTATTTGTGCAACTAGTGAGAAAAGTGAGCAATTGACTCACTCGAGAGAAATCCTTACTCACGAGCCGTAGGCGAGTGAGCAATGGCAATTGTACTTTGAACTCGAGTTGCACATTATACTTTTCCTACAGTTACCATAAAACAAATAAATTGGTGAATAAACATAACCTATTTTTACACAGAAGTGAACTTTTAATATAACATTTAATGTGAAGTGACAAATACAACAGTACAACAGCTGACCAGCTGATTTACAGCCAGTGCTGCCAACGTATTTCGCGCGCATACGTCGTTGCCTGCATGTTACGCGCTCACTATTTCGTGCCTTCACGTTGCAAATCTGGAGTGAGACAAAGTAATTAGAGTAAGACAATGTTAACATTGTCTCACTGATGAGCGAATTGGCCACTTTCTCCAATCAGTGAGAGAACATGTACATTGTTAGGTAACTGTAGGAAAACATATGTTTTTACACAAAACCTCAAAAGTATCAGAATTAAAACTTTTTTAACGTAAAGTTTCCACAAGCGCAGTGCCTTTGTAAAAGATTTAGTCTGGAAATATTTGAATTTCGGATAGTTCCCGTGGCAGCCGCTAGGTAGACTTTTGCGAGCGCACGGCCAAGCCAGCTGACTAAAAGCACAAAAAGTGAGAGAGAGTGAGATTAAGAATTAGCTTATTATACAAACAATCCAGTCCTATATAGCGACTATTATATCGGAGGGGGGCTAACAATCAAACAGAATTTGAACTCTAACATGTTAGAGTTAATTTACAAAAGACGTTGTTTCCCCCCGATTGTTATTACATTGATTTCAAACATTATATTAATACCTAATCATTTACCTAATCAACTACTTTAACCAGAAAAATGGTAGGTCTACTTTCAAACGTCCATCTTAGGACACTTAAAATGTAATATTTCTAGACTTTTTATAGGTGCCAATAATTGTGCCAAGATGTGACAATAGCTATGGTTGATGGTGCCAATAACTATGGAATTATATTTTTTACATTTTCATTTTTTATAAACTTAAGTAATGATATATATATTTCCTTAATACATCCCTGTATTCTAATTACATTCTACTACATGTTTAAAAAAAAAAACGTAGGTATTAAAAAAGGTATTGCAAAGGAGCTGTGGTAGATTTCACCGAAGCTTACCGTTAAGGTGCCAATAACTGAAGCATTTACCCTATGTTAATCTAAATATAAAATATGTTGAATGTTAATATACAGGTAGGCTAAAAAGTAACTTGCACCCCCCCTTAACTTTTCAACCATTTGAGATATTCGAAATCGGTTTGCGGCAACCTTCTTAGATGTGAGGGGCTACAATAACTGTGGTAAATTTTGAAAACTTTGCCCTTAGGGGTTGCCGCGGTAGGGGGTAGCTCAAAATTTTCAAATAGCAAGTATAGTCGAGTTTGGCATCATTTTACAGGTCTTGACGAAACAAAACAATTGACATAAACAAAACGAAAATCTGCCGACTAATAAGAAAATGGCGCCCTAAAACGTTTCAAATCCAAATAACCATGAGGGTGGCTGAAAATTAACTTGCACCCCCCTTTATCTTTTAACTATTTGAGATATTTGAAATTGGTTTGCGGCCACCTGTTTAGATATGAATGGCTACAATAATGATGGTTAATTTCAAAAATGTTGCCCTTAGAGGTAGTGGGGGATGGGGGTAGCTTAAAATTTTCGAACAGGAAGTATGGTCGAATTTGGTATCAAAGTAAAATTAATTTTTACTGCCATTTTGTTTTTAGTGGTCCGATTTCAATTTTCTTTATGTTAATTGTTTAGTTATGTCAAGACCTAAAAAATGATACCAAACTCAACCATACTTCCTGTTTGAAAATTTTAAGCTACCCCCAACCCCCACTACCCCTAAGGGTGAAAACTTTTAAAATTTACCATTATTATTGTAGCCCTTCATATTAAAACAGGTTGCCGCAAACCGATTTCAAATATCTCAAATAGTTAAAAAGATAAAGGGGGGTGCAAGTTAATTTTCAGCAACCCTCATGGTTATTTGGATTTGATACGTTTTAGGGCGCCATTTGGTTATTAGTGAGTAGATTTTCGTTTTCTTTATGTCAATTGTTTTGTTTCGTCAAGGCCTGTAAAATGATACCAAACTTGCCATTTGAAAATTACCCCCTACCCCTACTACCCTTAAGGGCAAATTTTTAAAAAATTATCATAATTATAGTAGCCCCTCATATCTAAGAAGGTTGCCGCAAACCGATTTCAAATATCTCAAATGGTTGAAAAGTTAAGGGGGGCTGCAAGTTACTTTTCAGCCACCCCGTATACGTATCCAAAACATGTTTTTTACGTAATGTTGCTTTCAATAGAAGATAAATAAATAATTAATGGAAGCATGTTTTTGTTTAAATGGTTTAAAGTATTAATGTATTGAAACAAATTATATAACCAACAAATGTAAAAGAAATTTGGAGTGTTTTATTATTTATCAATTTATAAGTTCAATAGTAAAATGTTTGTTATGAAAAAAAATTGACTGCAATCCAGATTCAGAGACAGATTGAATAATTTACAATTGAAATGAACACAGCATGCTATTGGCATATAAATATAAAGTTAGTTTGAAAGGATAATTATTTTCGGAATCAGTTTTATAAACATGGTTTATTTTGTATTGATGATCCTATAGAATAATGGATAGATGTTCCTGCAAAGATTATATATATAAAGCAAAGGTTGTTGAGTTGGACAATTGACTTTGCAGAACTGGCTACTGTGATTTAATTCTTAAGCCAATTTTTTGATAACTGTAAAATTTGTTACTTCGGACCCTAAACTATGATATAAAAACTAAACTAGTATGTAAAACTCTTATAATTTGAAAAAAAAAACATTTTTGTAACCATGTTTGAAATGAGAAATTTCAGCTTAAAATGTCTATTTGTTTTAAATTCTAACCTTAAGCGAATGATTGTATAAAAACATCAGCTCCATCGTACATTGGAATCAGTTTTACCGATAATCATATAAACCACAACTTTGGAAGCTTTGGAAAGCTTTACATAATTTTAATTTTAAGATTATATGACAACAATTTAGTTGATACACAAACAATGTATGGCACTTTATTCAGTTTCATAAACCTCAATGATCTACACATTAATTAAAGTTTATTTATTTCAAAGAACTTTTGAAATGTAGGGGAGCAAAGTAATTCCTAATCAAACCGAAATAATCTATATGCAATTTATCCGTTTTTTTTGACACGCAACATCTTGAAACTGCTCCTGCATTTTTTAGTGTAATATAATAAATAAAAGCGTACACATTGACTTATAAAGTAAATTATATGGCAGAAACTTGCGAAAGTTGAACCGTTCAAAGATGGAGGATGAAGTATAAGTTTCGTTTCTCCATTAAGTGAGGAAGTACTACTGAAACTGATATAATAACTGACCTTTGAAGATATTTATACTAGTAATGTAGACGATTACTGCCGTTAAGTTATGGTTATTTCAACGAGAAAACAAAAGCTGCTTAGAATAGAATAGAACACAACTTCAATAGCACGATGCCGATGTACTCATTAAGTAAATTAAAACGAACGTGTTTCCATCATTAATAATGAAATTGGTGCTTTTACTGATCAAGTTACTTTTGAGTTGATGTTTCCAAACTGTATACAGTCCTAATGAATACGTCCTTCCCCTGTATACCTTGAGTATATAAGGGTCGTTGCACTTTTATATCAAATTTTGTTGACCAGTTTTACATTTTCAGGGCAAAGTATATGGATTTTTTCCCCAACAGATACATTTGGCTAAAGAATGTTCCAGATACAAGTAAAGATTTACTGTAGAAAATAATTTACAAAGAAAAAAACAGCTACTATGCAAAAACCTAAAAATGCTAAACAGCTATAATAGCATCCTGACAAGCTTAGCTTAATTAATTCTACTTAACTTATACAAAAAAAAAATCGTCATATTTCAGCAATTTGTTATCTTTTTTTTGAACTTGGTATCTTTTGATAGGAAATTTTAAATGTAAAACATTTTGTTATAACATTATTTAGAAACCAAGGTACGAAAATTAAAACGGCCAACATGTAGGCAAAATAGGACTAAGCTAGTCGAGGTGTATCCCATTGAACTTTTTTACATAAAAAAGTGATATTTAGGCCTAAGCTATTTTATATTTTTTGTCTTGGGTTCATTTGATAGAAAATCCAAAATACTTAATACAAGTGTTCTAGACATTTTTTCATAAAACTGGAATTTTTGTAATTTTAGTTTTAAAAATTAAAGCGTTCTCCCTTTTGAAATTTCAAACATGGACCAACTTAACTATATTTCTAACGTAAAGGATCGGTTGAAAATGTTCAAATATAAAAATCATTATGTATAAAAAATGCATGCAATGTCGGACATACCTGCACATGAAGTTTATTCTTCTTTTTGTATCAAGAATTTTATCACAAAGTCCTGAAACGGGTTTTTGGACACCTTGTATGAATTTGAACGGATGGTTTTTAGCCTCTAGGGGCATCAAAACGAAATACCCCCACCGCAACAAACCTGCAGACTAAGCGAATTTCTCATCGTTTCTTTAGGGTTACCGTGTTGTAAAAAAGTAGTTATTATATTTCATTTGTTCGACACTGTTAAGGAATTTTCGAGCTATTAAAATAAATATTCACAAGTAAATATATTACACAACATAGAGCTTTAAATGTGTATTGCATTCCAGATTGACAATAGATTGTATTTGAGGATAAATAACTCACATTTTACTGATACAGTTGTAATTTATTTTCAACATTGTTTTGATTTGATGTGTTGAAATTATTTGTGGCAAAGCTATAACCATTTCTTTAGGAAGGAAGTGTAAATTTAAAATTGCCTTCAAATTTTACCGTCTTCGTGAACCACCTCAAGTACCACGGGTCAGCTGCATTCAAGTGAATGTCACCTTCAAAGGATTTAGGGCACGCGATTTCGAAAGGAAGTTCCCTGAAAACTACAGACTTTTCGTAATAATAATAATGGCTGCTAGGGAAGAGATAAATCTTTCTACAGTAGCATAGACCGTCAGATTTTTTGAATACTAATTTAAATATCACAACATCCAACAGTCTTTTACGGTTGATGTTGATACCGTTCTTATTGCAGGATCTCAATTGGAGTTTGTCAATAATGAAATCAGGATGATTTTCATGTGATATGAGCCCAAATGTTACATCCTTCTTTTCGTCTGAATTTTCAGACTGTATAAAACCTTCATTGCAGGTAAGCCAGAAAGATTTATCCTCAAAGTCTTTTCGAATTTCTACATTTGTTGTGTGTTGATATTGAACGTCACCAGAAAATTCCATGTCATTTGTTGTCTCCATTGGTCCCACCATCACTGTAGTAAACATGCATTGTTAAGTCTTTACGGCAAACAATTCTTGTAAGTTAAAAACAATAAAAATAATTAATTTCAAAGCTATCGGTAATTAATAACAAAAGTTAATTGGATTAATACTAGATTTAATTGAACTAACTACATAAAAATAATTAATATTTAAGACATTTTAGATGACTTACAAGTATTTTGTAGGAAAGAGTGAATATTTAAAAATTACAAGAAATAGTCTTCAATTTAACTCCATGCTCACATGAATAAATAAATTAAACTTCTGGTGGTCTAATTATTAAGATTTTTATATTAAGTCATTAATCAGGAGAACTAACACAACTTTTGGTTATGAAATTAAGGCATTAAGGTTCAATAGACTCAAATTCCCAAAGGTTAAAACCATCTGCCCAGCTAAGGAAGAAGTATAAAGCAAATTAAAATAACAAATTATATACATATCATAGTAAATGAATATGAATATCGTAGTAGCAATAGCAAAGCATGCGTTGAATAAGACAGACAAAAAAATATAATTCAAAGAATGTCTCTCAACAGATTGCAAAATATGGGTTACAAATTTCTAAAGACCAGCTCATGGCATCAGGACACAAAAAATGATGAAAGATTTGAACAGACCGAATCATTTTGTGGATTGCAAACCTGGGGAATGTAGATATAGCATTTCATATTGTTTCCGTTCAAAGAATTCTACTGTTTAACAAAAAGAAACTACTAATTATTGGATAAAAAATAGCTCTATAGGATATGAAGTTTGCAGATCCTGTTTAAACTGCCAATTATAAATATTTAAGGAAACAATATTAGAGTTATTTTAAACTTTTACTTGAGATCCCATTATTATTAAAATATCAATACCAAAGATAGTACAGTAGCTATTTAAGGTCCGGGAACGTAGTTTACAATTTTCATAGTTCATTGATTTTTTTTTATGAAAAAAGACATATGAATAGTTAATTGACGATGTTACCAAATTTAGTAAGAGTTATGGAGTTAGTTGAAGCTATAACATAAACATAATTTTTAAGAACTTACCAATGCCCCCTGCCTTGATTGGTCGGTCAAAAGATTTCACGAACTGAAAACATATTATTTATCAACTACCAAATAGACGATTAAATCTTTTACAAAATCATAGGGTTAAATATTGAAATAGGTTAAGTAGCTGGGAAACTAAATGGTTTTATTGCTCACCTTAAGCATGCAGTCACCGGTTCGATCCTGAGAATAGTCAGTAGTTTTTTTTTGCTTGAAACTTGGTCCAGCTGTTCTTAAATACTAGGCTTTTAATAGATTATTTTGACTAATGAAAAAATATGGTAGTATAATAGTAATGTTAGTAAAACGTTAAAAAGATAATATCAATCAACTCTCTACATACTCTCGTTGCATTCATATCAAGCTTAAAATTCTCACTCAAGTGTGCATCCTCAAAAAAAAAAGTTTGGCATTTTATTGCCACCTCTATTTTCGCCTTACTATCCTTAAGCAAAAGCAGAACAAACGCACGGCATACGTTTACAACTGCATGTCAATCGAAACGACTATTTAATCCGTACGTAAATTATATTCTAAAGATATGTTTGTTTGTTGTTAATGCTAACTTGATTTCATCTTAAAGTGAAATAGTTAGCCTATATGAAATACTTTATAACGGTATAATATTTTAATTTAAATTAAAATGGTGATTATTCGTTGTATACTCAAGTTTACAAATTAAATACAGATGACTTACAGATAAAGATCACAAATTGCAGCGAAATCTTGTTGTGAGCCACATTCAATGCGAATCATGTGTCATGGATTTGTTTTTTTTTAAATACGAGTAACAATAGACTATTGGCCTTTTAAAACTTTGTTTGGTTAACATTCAATATGTTTCTGTTCTCTCTTCATGTTATACTGTAATTGTAGCGAAACACTGTTTCGGAGGCTTTCTCACTCCCCATTTCCTATTTCTCAAGATTACTACCCATTAGGTAGCCTATTAAAAGATATTAACCTTTTAAATAGTGGCATTTGTCTTTAATGTCGTTTAGCTTATAACTAATTAGCAACTGAAATGACATTATCCTTCAAAGAATTCGAACCACAATCCAAACAAGTTATGAGTTAAGTCTATCAAAATGTCGGCACTTGACTTCGTCACTTACTTCATTTGACCACTTAAACTTACTGACAACTGCATCTAAGAGTGGTTTAGTATGAACCATAGACTAACCATACTGTACTCCGACTGGATATAGATGAACCTAACCGTCTTGTATCGGTCCTTTTACCTCACTAGTGCCGTTGGAGAGTTTGATACACGGCTCGCGTATAGTTTTTAACTCTATTTAAATGGACACTCAAAGTGTGTGCACAAAATGTAAATAGATCGCTTATTTTAATATATCGCACAATAAACAAACTTTAAATTGTCATAACGTTTTTTCAACTTATCTTTTGTGGCCAGTGATGACCATTTGAGAATGAACATTAAAAAAACAAACAATGTATTAAAAAATTCTCCTGTTTAGGGGATAACTTATATTTAAAATCCTATTTGGTCTGTTTTCCCCATCGGTCCTCTTTGCTTTTATCTTCAATGCTGCTGTACTCGTACCGTAATAAAATTAAGAACATTCAGCAATACTTCACTCACCTGTTCCACATCTTTAGGACAGTCTACTCTAGGGTAGTCCAACGACTCCACTTTCGCATACAGAGGTTTCTTGTTTACGTAGTACGTCCTCTCCACACATCTTGGATTCTTTCCCGACCAGAGGTAAATAATTTTAACATAAAAGTTTCGCTCTTTTTTCTTAGAACCTTGTGGCACGATGTATTTTGTAAGCTTAGTTTCCTCGCAGGCATCGGCTTGTGGTGCTAGAGTTAGTGTATCTAACAATATACCATGAGGGCTGTACACAAGAGCTCTGGGACTATCTGCTTCATACTCTGTACATTTGACCACAAACTCCGCCTCCTCAGCAGATTTAATGACGTGATTGGATGGTTTAGCAATACCTCTGTCACGAGAAGGTATCACCACTAACACCTCTCTTACTGAATCTTCTGATCCCAACACTAAAACAACGACGGTTTAGATGTAAATAATTGCTACAAAAAACAATTAGAACCTTAAAACTGTTGATAAAAGTTACTTAAGTAATGTATCCGAGAATTGTACATCGGAATATGAAAATAAGCCAATGCTTTTCACTTTCACATTTTGAGAGAATTTTGAAATGCAAATGTGCAATTTTGAATACGGTACGATTATTTACTATGCAACTACAACAAACAACAGAATATCATAAATGGACAGGTTAATAGTAAATTTACAGGTTGGTAAAAAAAAAAAAAAAAACCCAGCGGTCTCTGCAGAGTCATATTATACATACCAAAAAATACGGAAATGTCAAATAACTTTTTTTGGATTTCGGCTTATGTCAATTGGCGGACCTGAGACTGCCTACCAAGTAATATTATACACCAAACATTATCATCATTATTATTATCTGCGGCCATTGGGTAATAATTACTGATAGGTAGGAAAACATATCAGCAGTATTGATTATTAGTTACAAAATGAGCACTAAAATTGAAGTATTGTCCCTTATTTATGAACCGATTTTCTTACATTTGGCCTCGTAGGCATTTTAATGAAATTGTCTATATAAAATAATGTTACAATAATTTTGTTCGCATTTGTAGTTTTTATAATATCTAAGCTAAGAAATTTGTAATGTCCACCATTAGACATTAAACATTATTCAAACATAATATTCATTTTTAAATATATCTTTGCGATATTAATCTATGCACCACATTTCAATCCACAAAAAATTCCGCTAGCCAATAGAAAAATAATTTTGTGAAAAAATGGCGGTTGTACGGGTATCTTTTGAGTTATTACAATTTGTTAACATTGATCTTTTAGTTTGTCTTTGGACCCAGAAATGATAATTTAAAAGGCTGTTAGAGAGTTCAGGGACAATCTGTAATTACAAAAATATACCGTGTTCACCCATGTGACGCTAAAAACACACATCACAAATTTGAATGGTTAATTTAAATTTAAAGCTTATAGGGTTTAATCTGTAACTACGATAACATATAACCTATTGGTTGGCTAACTGATAAAATTGGGACAAAAATGCTCAACACAATAACCAGTTTTGACAGGAACTACATTTTATGAATTACAATTTTGATAAATTCACTACATCAACAAACATACCATTCCCTTCTAGGTCGTTTCCTGCTAATACATATCGATATCGAGGGACCTGAAATAAAACATAGCAAAAAACTTACAATATAGAATCTATAAAGAAGTAAAATATGAATCGCTAACCTGTTGTTAAAGCTTGCATAGTCTATAATTTGTTATTGTCAATACAATAGTCTATCATTTGTTATTGTCAATACCATAGTCTACAATTTGTTATTGTCAATACCGTAGTCTAATTTGTTAGTATTTATTGTTGTTATCATGGTTTGCTGAGCAGTCCATAATTTTTTACCATTATTACTACGTATAGTCTATTTTATTGGTAGGCTTTTTATTGTAGTTCTTAGGTCTCAGCCAGTTATTTATTGCTAGCTTATTACTTATTGTTATTGTTATGTTTGTTATCACTGATAGTAAATTATTCACTTTCGCTTCACTTGTTTTGAATTAGCATGTAATTTCTTACTCAAAATTTCGAACTCTGCTATTTGTTAATCTATTTTAGTAAAAAAACTTTATTAGTAATGGAGAAAGCGTTGAAAGAAATAAATAAACAAGGCAACATGAAAATAACATCAAAATCATCGAAAATAATACTCACCAAACACATGAAAACAAAAACATAACCGAAACTTGAAACTAACATTTCAGTTAGTTCATTACTGTTCGTACTGCGTTGGTTAACTGAATTTTGCTGTCAAGTTTGTGCGATCGTCACTTGATTGATCGGACAAATGTTGTGAAGCCAATTAAACATTTATGAGCAATACTGTTATGTCAGCGCACTACCACTATAATGTTTTACCATTTCCACACTTGAAGTAAGCTTTGCAAATGGCGGCGTACTCCATAATAAGGTCAGTTTGTTAAAAACTGTGTTGTACCATTTCGTCCAAATTCCTCGAATTCGGTGGGGAGTCAATCCCCAACCCCCAACAACTAGTGTTATCTTGTCGAAAACCCTACGCTTTTGTTCGCCTGACAGGTCTAAAAAAATTATTTAATACCTGATTGAAACTCTTGTAGTAGCCTGCATTTCTAATTAATTAGTATTTATCTCGAGAAAGATTAATTGATAGTTGTATACTTGATTAAGTCTGACAATGTAAATTTACAGCCGTTGGCCGATACAATTAAATAAAAAAAATCTTCCACACACTGTGTAGGTATGGTTATACACACTTAAACAACCATTCCGTGTGACCAATCAACAATCAACGTGTGATTTATTCTCCTCCAGAAAATTTAACTTATTCGCAACGAAATTTCACAGCCAATTTTCATATTACTAAAAATGTTCGATCTTACAACACAATCCAAGTGGGGCAATGCAAAACACGGCATTGCGGCCTTGTTATGTTGTCTGCCTATTTACATTTAGACAATTATATGTACAATATTTACAAAATTAGATTAATTATTATGTAGAATGTAGCCGCAATTTATTTGTAATCTTATTTACAAAGGGCGGTATCATTGTTTTTAGTGTCTTGTTTTCACAGTTTGGTTGCTTTAAAAAAAGTTGTTTAAAGCCTTAGGTATTATACTAAGTCCTTTAAACTGTACAAAGAACCTTAAATACCAAAGAAATTGTTGAAAATTAAGTAAAAATTACTTGCTGCAACGATGGAAAGCATCTCTACTTAATACAGCAGCTTTCCTAGAATCTTTCCTGACGAATTTGCATACAAATTACCTAACCTATTTCAAAATGTACAACTTTGTTCTGAAGTTTTCTTCCTTACTAAAAGTTCCATTTGCCTTACTTTAACACATTTTAAAATTTTTATGAAGATCGTACTGTACTAGGATGATATACTCGTACTAAAGTAATTAAATGACAATAACATAATAAAATATGATATATTAGTATTGTTACTACAATCTATTACCATCATATTTCGTACATGTAATCATGGGTTACATTCGTTATTCGTCATATTATGTGTTACTTCTTAATCCTATGTGTAACCTATATGTAGCCATTTTTGTTTGGCTGGTAGATTTAAGTCCAATGTTTGACTATAAGGATTTAAAATAAAGTAGTTTTCAATTGTATTTTATTTTCCTACGTAGCTTAGCATACGAATCCAACCACATACATCTAACTGCATTAACAATTAATTATTTATATCCTTTGAGTACAAGGGCTGAAAATATAAGAGTACATAATTCAGGAGGAAGCTCTTACTCTTAATCTTTTACTAATTATTACATTACAGAATAAAAATAACTTCTATAGTAATTTGTACTAAGTGTTCATTTTACAGATTTATGTCGTATCCAATGATCTTTGATGACGTCATGTTTGTGCTAGTTCAATGTGAAATTTGTTAATAAAGGTAATTAATTAACCTGTAACATGTATATTGACATGTGACTGGGTAGGATGTATGTTTCACTATCACGCAAGCAAGGCTAGATGAAGTTGGCGAAGGTTTTCTGCAACTGAGACTTTGATCTGTTGATTGAGTGGTTAACTCCAAGCCTTTAAGTTTAGAATGTTCAGATTGTGAGGAGTATTTAGTTTAGTAGTATCTTAAACAACAATAAGTAATTTAATGGAATCGGGTACATTCTGTTGAAATACGCTTTTTCTAAAGACAGGTAAAGCTAGTTAGCTGAAAAACGTATTTGACGATTAGACGATTTCATAATGTATTATTAAATCTATTTATGACTCTAAAATATCTGCATCTCACATAGAAAAATACAATTAAATTAAAATGCAAAATAAACTAACCACTTTTGTAACACGTTTTTCTATAATGTTAAATCAAATAAATTGTTGTGACATAATGTCAGTTGCTGTCGGTAAATGTGGATGTTGGAAGGTTCAGAAGGTATTTTAATATAAATTCTATCAAAGCACATGACAAAAAAAAAACACTTTATGTTTTACAGTGACAACACTTTGTTTGGTATTGAAAGGTATTCAGTAATTAAACTCTTTCGCGTCAATACATTCTTAATTTAAATTGTATTTATAGAAAATACGCTAAAGTAAAATCAAACTGAAAGGTAAAGAGTTATTACAATGGTTTGACTAGGAATATACATTTCCATGAAATTTAAGCAAAATCATCCATTCAAGGTATATTATTTTTTTTAAATTCTTTACTACTGCTTGATAACAGAAATCACTTTTCAGTAAAAATCTTAGATTTACAAATTGTAAAAAAATAACGTTACAAATAATGGTTATCAAAGCAATGTTTGTTCTTGTATTAAACAAATCAAACTCCGGTTAAAGAGAGTTGTCATCTAGTGTTAGATATATAACCAAGTATATTTAATATTCAGTTAGGTATTGCACTTATTCTGTTCTGACCTCGACATAGTTATAAAGGAAAGATTCAACACATGCTTCTACCACGTAGCTGGTGACGTTTTTGCAAATATATATATATATTTTTTTAATATTCTTCTTAGTTTAAATGTTCAATTAAAATTGATAATGATTTTATTCTTTGTTATTCTAAGCCATGTTTTAAAGCGCATACTCTTTTTCATTTTTTTCACTAGCAAAAGAAATATGAAATCTCGTTCATTCATACACTGTTTTAATTGCATTATTAACTTGATTTAAACCTGATTCCTTCACTAGAAATGCTATTTAATGAATACTATTAAAATCTTTAAAGTAGGTAACGTGAAACTAGCCTTAAATATTATGCACTCTAACGCAATAGGTATTCCATGTAAGATTTCTGTATCTTATATTATAAGTAATCATAGATGCGATAACAACTTTTACTGACAGATATGTTAACATTAAAATATACAATTATTTTAGTTACTGACCATAATTACTTTAGGAACAAAGTGTAACTAAAAGCATTATAAACCTACTTCAGAATCCAGTTATATACTTATCTCTTACTATGTCAAAGCTTTGTTATTTACCTTTCTGAGAATCCCATTTAATTATAACTAAACTATAAACTTTGCCAGTGGAAATTAGTACGCTGTAAAAATTAAGTTTTTATAATCAGGTAATTTAAAGTTGGATGACATTTTATCCAACGTAAAACTGTTTATCATCGGACAAAGTTTCAGCCAACTTTATAATACATAATTATGCAGAGTCAACTTTTACTTCGTAATCATTTCCAACTGGCAATGTTGATGGTTTTAAAAGAAATAATGTCGAATCAATGTATCAGTGATTTAATAAAGTGTTATACTATCACTATAAATAACTCTTATAGCTGTAAATTAGTTTTAATTGATTTTAACGATGATTAAATTACCATAAATGGGTTGCTAAAATGTTATATAAATATACGTGGTAGCTTGCATCCATAGATAAATTTAATTAATATTAATCACAATTTAATTATTGAAATTCCCATTTAAACATGCACTAAAATTAATCAAAATTTTAAATTTTTACCATGGATTATCTCTTCACCACCTATTTACATTCAGTATATCTATTCAAAATCATAATATAAACAGAAAACATAGCAGTCTCACAAATACTGTATAACTAAAACATTTTGTATTCTGGGTTCTAATACACGTGTGTGACGGAATGTGTCGGGTCGGACCGAATTGAATACGACATGAATGCATTAAGCATGTCTCGTCTCTTTTGAATGTTTGAAACATTTCTCCTAATATATTGTGGTTAGTAGGGTTTCCAATTAGAATACAGAGCATTGTTGTTAATAACTCTTGCCAGAAGATGGCGTTGGCAACGTAAGGCGTAAACTGTAATACATTTGACTGGTCGACTGGTCCATACTAGAATGCAAGTGTAGCAAATTTTTAACAACACATAAATTATCAAACCATCAACCACATTTTAATAATATCAGAGATAGACAGCTGTGTCACAATAGAGTTTTAGTTAATTTCTTTCTTAAGAAATTTCAAAAGGCATTATGACCTATCTTAGTTTACCTTATTCAACCTAAACGCGAATGTAGTTCCCCTTAGGGGGTAACAGGTAACAATCTTTTTTAAGGAGTGGAGGGAAAATTCTTACATTATGCTTAGTGGTCCAGGATCACTTATAGAATAAAATGGTTTATATTACCTGTCCGTCAGTGATCCTATTGTTGTTGTCTTAGGCGACCGGTTTCAGGATTAAAATCCCATCATCAGGCTGTTAAAAAATGTCATGTCACTCAAATTGAGGTCGTCGGTAAACATATAAACACACACATACAACACGAAACACGAAAATACGGATTAACATTGCTAGCTACTGGCCAGTACAGGACACTATGAGGGTAGTTGCGTGGTCATGACTGAGGTGTCCTTGCTCCTCTCCCGTTATCTATGGAATGCCGGTGGTATTGTTGTCCTATTCTAATCGCTGCGTCATAGATAAGTTGGACTTGAAAGAAGTCTGTTCATTTAAAATGTGTTGTGGCTAAATCTTGATGGATTTGTATATCTTGAATTCCTCTAAACAATCTAAAAATCGTCCTTTTTTAGGGTAACTATGTAAAATGTGTAGGTTATGGTCAAGGCTAGAATAATTATGGTTATTGTCTGCGAGGTGGTTGGCAAAAGCGGATTTTTGCTGTGCTATTTTTTTGGATGGAATATTCCATCCAAAAAAATAGCCGTTTAAGTCTCCTGAGAGGATGAGACTACTCATTACAAGAAACCTCTTGACTCCGTTGGACGCAGTCGCAGACCTACTTGTCTGTCACATTTCTTCAAGTCAGACCGGCATGTGTCCTAAGCCCTAGGGCTCC